TTCAGTGAACATCTTCCCCCATAACTAACCAGTTTAAACTGGCGCTTCAAAAATACGTTGCGATGGGAAAGCACCTTGCGGCAATGTATATAGGTCTATCCCCACCATCTGCTTCGATATCCGAGCGCATCTCTCCTCTTCAGGAGGGTATCATTTACGCATCTACATGTTGGAGTTGAGGCTAAGCAGTCTATGAAAGTGTCAACTCAGAGGTGGCTGATCCCTAATTTACCCAGTCGGAGGGGTGGGGGACGGTCTAAGAATCTGGATTATTCCATTGGCGATATCCATGGGCAGCATAACGAGTCGGTCGTACCTTTGTATCATCAATTACTGAGTTATCAGCCTCTACAAATGAGCATGAATGGGCCCGGCGAAACATCCAGGGATATCTTGTCTCTCAGCTGTTTAGCCCAGGTTCCTAAAATAGAGGGGGAGCGTGCAATCTGTTCTAGTTTTATCAAGGAGCTTCATTTAAGACCTCTACATATGGCGCGGGCAAACCCATCGGGACATAATAGACGTTACTACCGCTAGGAGGAATATCTTTTGGCGTTGTTCAAGGCGTTCTGATCTTTCCTGGAGTCATATCAAACAGATCTTTAATCAGAATTTTCCTCGCAATCGTCAACGGACAGCACGCGCTCTTAAAAACAAATATCACCAGTTACTAAGCAATTTTGAAAGGACACACGTGAGGCAATACCCAAGTGTCGTGTCTCTGGAATTCTAATACTTTGTTTGGCAGACCTACCATTATCCAGGTGCCTAAGCGAGTATAAATCGAAGAGCTAATGGCTAGTGTCGAGGAATTTATTTTGAGATACACGCTCAAAGCATATAAATATTTAGATACATTCCATTTGATATGATATGCACAATGTACGTCTTGACCAGCAACTTCTACACAGCCGCTTCGCCGCTTGCAAGCACAGCCGGTCTGTACGCTTACTGTACCAACAGGACCAGTCTAACATTAATAGACCATGTCTAATGACGGCCTGACCATCGCATGGGCATTTCTTCGTGCAATGGTCACATTGAGCAGCACCTTGTTCATCAGGTGTCAAGGCCGGAAACCTCTCTTTTCAACGCCGGTGTCAATAACCATCACGAACGTATTTAATGATATTTCTGCTCGGTACCACAAACTATTCCCTTCCTACAGGAAGCTGCTAGCAGACTATGGCCGTTTAAGGACTCGTCATCCGCCGTTTACGCTCGTTGCACCGGGAAGCCTACACTGGGGCCCTTGAGAGAAGATACAAGCCATGCCAATCACACTGTGCTTAAGATTGAGTACGGGACTGTGGCAATGGTTCGATACACAATAACCTTGAGATCCGTAAATCTTACCGTAGAGTGCCAGCCAGCAGTGGCCGATCCGCAGCTGGACGAGTATCTAGAAAGGCACAGTTTCGTGGCACCGGATCGTATAGACGAAGGGTGAAAGACAAGGCAGTACTACCAAAGCAATAAAAAGAGACAAAAACATACAACAGTATGTATGTCAGTGCTTACCCTAGTATCTGCTTTGCCGCGCATGTTCCAGCGGCCTTCAGGTGAATATTTAGGTACTTGAATATTTTACACTTAACAGCTAATAAGCTGCATTGTTGATAAAAGCGCATCAGCCTGTATAAGGGAGAGAACTTATTTTTAAATTATAATGCATCTACCTTACTCCTATACTTTATCCCCAACTTAAACTAATCAGATAGTATGCCACAGAAGCCAACAGTAACTTCTATATGCATAATTAACCTAAATAAATATATTAATAATAAGTTTAAATAAGCTATTCTTCCATGAACAGCTAAAAGGTATGAGTATAGTACGAAGATTTCAACTAATAAGTCTTATAAATCTATAGAGGCTTATGTCTTATCCTCTTAGATTCCTTAAGCTATCTGCTATACCCTGCTGTAGTAACCTTAGAAGGGTAAGTAAAGATAGAAAGAAATAGCCTTATATAATAAAAGAACTTAGTACGATAATAACCTAAAGTAGCTATAATACTACTAGGGTAATTAAACTAAAGATAAATAGCTTAGAAAGCTGTACTAGAAATAGATAAGCTTAAGTATTAAAGAAATTAAAAAAGAACTTAATAAGGAAGAGAACATAGATTACAAAAGTATATAAGATAATTAGTCTGCTAAAAACCTTAGTATAGTTATAGACTAATTAGTAAATACTAAAAAGCAATAGCACCAGTTCTAATAAATAAGAATATGTTATAAATTGTTCTCTTGAATCTTGATTCCTCTTCCCTTGATCATCTAGAACAACCTGTTGATGTATACATGTTTAGTAGTGTCCAAATGGTAATAATTTAGGAACTAGAGATTACAAATAGTTTAGGGAATTATAACTCTCATTCATTTGTTTTATGACTGCGACCTTGATGTGAATGAGAAATACTGATTTGTGTTGACATTTCCATATTCACCCACCACATGCCCCAATCTTAGACTCCATTTTTTCCGAGCATTCACAAGCAAAGATGCCTCAATGAAGAACAGTGCCACTGTCCCTTGTGAAGAATTGCAACTTCACTGTCACATCATGCTCCATCTCCAAACCATTGTTGTACGAATCTACAGGCCTCACCTGACCATCCAGCAACCGGAAATCATATCTGAGCAAAATGCATACCAAAGCTGCTTTGAGCATAATGGAAGCAAACCATCTGCTTAGACAAGCATGAAGTCCAGTGCCAAACTCTAAATTATCTTGTCTATTCGCACCAAATTACCCCTAATTAATTATTTTCGTCATTACAAGGTCTTGATAAGAGAATTTACGTACCCAGAAAAAACATAGTTGTAGATGCTTGGGTTCTCTACTGTAGTTTTCTTCTCTGCCTATTGGAATCCACAGAAGGGGCGTGTGCTGCCACTCTTGTCAATTACCGCATGCACCAGGCCAGGGATGGATATATGTGTGTTTTTAGGGAGTATTGTTCTGTTGGAGAGAGTCAGTGGCTTGAAGAGCTTCTGATTTGATGAGACTAAATTGACTTAATAGGGATTTGATGCGGTGAAGTGTGGGGAGAAAACCTAGATTATTATAGTAGAATTTCTGGGACTCTTTAATAAAAGAGTCTAGTTTAACTAGACTGAGAAGTCCTGTATAGCTTATATTCGCGCCGCCCTCCTCCTGAGAGATAGCGCGGTTAATTTCCTCACAGATAGGCCTGATGTATTCAGGATACTCGACTAGGTTGAAGAGGGTTTAATAAAGCTTCTGCTATTAGTAACATAATACACAGGACAGTTGAGATAAACACATACAACTCTGGCAGTAGTTTAAATTCTAGCCATACTTGTCCCTAAAATAGATTCCGCCAGGATCCATGTATTGCCGTACTCCGCACCAGTGTTGTCAATGTAAGACTAGATGTAATCATCAGGCCCCTGAAAGCCCAGTTCTTGCATTTCCCTGAGTTGTTCCTGTACATATTTTTGAGCTTTTAGGTATGGCCTGGCCACATATGGCAACGCACCTGATGAAAGATATACAGGATATTATATACTTCCTGCCTGTAATTGAGAAGCCTTCTCATATCTGGAATTAAACAGGCCATAAGAGGCCGAAGAAGGCAAGGGTATCTTGCCAACTTTAAAGCAGCTTCAAACGCTACCCTTAGGTAATTAGCAAAGATCCTCAGCTATATGTGCTGAAGTTAGCAACTTATAACTAGTGGTGGGATGGATGACCACACCCATTCCTTATCATGCCCTAGATCATCACCAACCAGCACCATTTCAAAGATGTAAAGGTAAATCTCTGTCGTCAAAGAGTTAATATTCAGTATCCAGCCTGCACCATTACTAATGTCACAATCCAGAACCCAGTTAATTTCACCATATATCTTGTTGAGCTTCTGAGTGATGTTCCTTATCAACAGTCCTTGAATATACTTAATTACAGCGTACATTTGGTCCCCTAACAACACCTTATCAGCATTAGTCTCACCTGGCTCCGGACAGGTATCTCAAACCTGGTTGGTCTGGATAAGCAGAACCTAGAAATGTATATCTGCCACATAGCCGCTTATATACATCCACGGCAGAGGCTATATTCCCAACCATCAGAACATTCACTGGTGGGATAGATCGTAATATCGACCCAAGTCCTTACATGCTCTATCTTCTCTCAGCCACGCAAATTCTTTTATATACCTTGGTGGAAGCATAAAAACGTCCTGTGTTCAAGTTCTCAGGATGTATATCTAGTCAGGATCCTATACACATCGCATGAGAGATGTTGGGACTGAATGGTAAGATAACTATACTTTTGCATACTAGGCCTTTACCACATCCTCATACTTCGTCCCTGGAAGTGGCTCAACAAGAGGTATATCAGCAGGATATCAATTATGGATGTCATGGAACGTCTTCGTGATGTACCAGAAAAGAGCGACTGTGCCCCCAAGTACTAGGATTATAGGCAACATAGCTGTAGGTATGGTGAAACTAGTTAGTAGAGCTTGTGTAGGAGTGATCCAAGGAGTAGTGGATTTAACTGAGTACCTTTATCACTGGACGCCAAATTTATACACTTATAGCTGTGAGTCCTATTTTTTAGAGCTTGCCGCTAGAAGGGATGCGAAACACCCCGGGCATGCTAGGGCTGCTGCTGGAAGGTATGACAAATATCCAGATATCTTGGTTTCCCTTGCTGGGCTGGCATTCACCCACCGCCCCGCGAGGAAGCACCAATAACGCACATGGGCCTGCTATTACAGATAGCTCCCTTGTTTTGTAAAATATCCTGAGGACTAGGTGTGCTATGCCCGTAATTTGCCCTTGCAGAGCGGAGGTACCTAGGACATAGGGTGGCGTATGAATATACCAAGGCTCTAAAAGCGGCGAGAATGATTTCATTTAGCCACAAGTACCGTTTTTCTATTCCTGGTATCTGTAGCACTGATAGTTATAATACTTACTAATGTCTTTTATTGCTGAGTCTTCGACATCAAACACAAATTCAGCATGATTTTGCCATGCCTTATGCCGTTTATGGTAGCTCTTGCTACTACAGTTACCAGTCACTATGACGATCCAATCAACATAAAGTCACTTCTTGGTCCATTTCTGTCTCCAGGCGCCCAGCTGTATCTTCCAAGTGATCCCGAATACTATGTGGTTAACGAAAGGTGGTCAAATATTGGAGCACCGTTGTATGCTGCAGCTGTTCAACCTGCTACCGAGGAAGACGTCAGAATCACGGTTGGTGCCCACCACATTCCCGAAGAATCGAAAGAAGACACCAACTAGATTTAAAATTTGTCCCTTTTTTTGTGTTATATAGGTGAAAGTGGCCAGTGAGCATGATATCCCTTTTCTGGCGACAGGAACTTCCCACAGCGTTAAGCCAGGACTGCCCGGCTACACTACGCTCCGAAATGCGATACACATCGATCTAAGTCTATTGAATGGAATTTTAGTGGATCCTGAAAGCAACACGATGACAATCGGGCCAGGTGTTACCAATGAGATGGTGTACAAAGCGCTGTATGCGGCTAAGAGGGAAACACGTTAGACATCGTTTTATCCACTCACCCCCTTGCCATTGTTATGCTAATGCCTCCCAGCAATTGCCACCGATCGTTGTATCAGTACATTGGGAACTATGGTTGGCGGTGGACTAGGGAGTCTTCAAGGGGTCCGAGGGATCTTGGCTGATTCCCTTCTCTCTGCCCATGTGGTGACCGCTGCCGGAGACCTAATTACTGTTTCCAAAGACGACAACCCGGATTTATTTTGGGCCATTCGGGGGGCAGGCCAGAATTTTGGAATCCTTGTTTCCGCAACGTTTCGAATATACGAGCAGACCAATGGTGGCTTAAGCATGTTTGGAGATTTCATTTTCCCGAATAGCCAGAATGCCTCTGTGTTTGAGCTTGTGGCGTCGCTGGACAAAGGCCTCGAAACCGGAGTGTTCTACGGGGTTATGGGAACAATGAACGAGAAAACTAAATAGGTTCGTCTATCATGTTCCAAATAAAGAAAAAAAAAAGAATAACGATAAAAATTGAAGACAAGAATACAGTTGCACAGAGGCTAACCAAGTCAGCCGGTTCTCACACTTCGACTTATTGTTATGGTGACGAGGCGTACGCTGCTCCCCATCTCGCGAAAGTCATGGCGCTGAACCCAGTTAATTCGACATGGGGGGTAAAAGAATGGAAGACCTATGGTGATAGTACTGCCACTATGTGCGACCCCGGTTGGAACGCCACACTCTACTCGTTGGGATTGGAAAGAACGGATGTGCAGACACTCTCCGAGGCATGGACGAACTGGACCACCTTCTCTATAGAGCGAGGCATGTTCAACGGGTTTTGGATGATCGAAAGACACCCAGAGCAAATTTCTGCTAGGCGTGCCCAAAGGAGAGCAGGGGGTGTATCCCTGGAGAGATACAAAGTTCTACATGTAAGTTCTATCACCATTCAAGTCTCATGGTCAGCTAACATTCTATTAGGTTCTATGTAAACTATATGTCCGACATGAGTTAAAAGTCCGAAGTACATTCCGTCATGGGCTCCATCCGAGATAAGCTCCAGGATGTAATGGGATTCGAGCACCAGCATGCGTATGTCAATGAGGCGTACGGCGACGAAGGCCCGGAGGTCTGGTCTGGGGCCCACAATCTTCCTCGGTTGGTGGCCTTGAAACAACAGTGGGATCCGAAAGGCCAATTCGGAGCTGGGATGCTCATACCACTAAGCTTATGACTTGAGATGTAACCTCAGCTGCTACGATGAGAACGCATGCTGAGGCAAGTGATCAGTGCCGGTGGATGATGCGGTAAACATCATGGAGAGTGAGCTTGGCTATACTCGTCTGATATGGGATGCGAGACTGCATGTATTTCCCTCAGATTCCAGTCTTAATGGTCCCAAGGAACGTCCCAGGCTCGCTTATCATGACATATAGCAGGCCGATGGTTCTAAATGAGCATTCAGTCGTTACCCAAACCCATTTAAATTCGAAATTTTCTGTATTATAGACGTAAAGGATAAACACAAAGCAGGGAATTCAAAGAGCAAAGATCGGAATATAATGTGGGGTCTTACATCGGGTTTTTCTTACTTCGTCGGATGGGGAGGGTAGGGAATCGGAAGCACCTACAGTTTTCAATCATAGTCGAAGAGTGAACTACTAAAAGAACATATGATTGTCTTACAGCATGAAGAAAGTAATCACTCAAATATTGCAGTTTCACGACATAGGAAAGGGGTAAGTAAGGGATCGTCTTATTATGCAAAGGAAGTGGTTGATCCAATACTACGGTGCCACGACGTAGGAAAGGGGTAAGTGAGGGATCATCTTAGTATGCAGAGGGAGTGGTTGATCCATTACTGCAGTTTCGCAATACATTGCTAGGGTAGATGACAAGTTTTTAATGGTGCATGTCCCAGTTTTGCCCATATCCATCGCGCCCAGGCTCTTGGAGTGCCTCTGCCTATCACGTTCACCATGCCATGGAGTCCCACCCGGGAGTTTCCTCACCTGTTGGCAAATATCAAGATACGGGCGCAGATGCATCTTTGCGTATTATTTGTCGTACAGCGCAATCAATCACTAATGAGAAGTTTTTGGGGGGCAACACGTTGGAGCTGCAGGGCTAGCTAGTGCTTCTAACAGTCGAATATTTACCACTTTCTCAAAGTACGGAGCGAGAACTCGATGGCTTAGTCTCGCGCAATACTTCTATCCATATATACAGCAAGGGGAGTGGTGAAGTATAGTATCAGAATTACTACTACATATCATATGGAGGTGCCTACATATACCAGGCTATTTTCAATAACTAGGAGCCAACTTAGAAACAACCTTGCTGATTATTCAGGAACTCATAAATTTCAGGCTTTGAGGAGCACTATGACAAATGACACAGCTAGAGCACACTAGAAAACAATTTTACGCACTTGCCAAGAGGTGTTGTATAAGGATTCATGCTGTTTCAACCCACATTCCTCCTAACATAGCAGTTTCCCCTGCTTCATGCAAATAACAACAGCCCAATATGGCTATCCTGCCTACTGAAGGCTATAGATGAATGAAGCCATAACCACACAGACTTGGCAACATGTCCTGGGGTCATCATGAGACTCTGGCCATAAGATTAGTTAACTTCTCCCTTCTCTCATCGCAATGAAATCATTCCTTCTTTTCACAACAACCGGAAAAATTTTTTCAGAATGTGATCTTCAAGCCTTTGTCAGCAATATGCCAAAAAACACTCCAGGATCAGAACACAGGCGGACTTGTATTTTTCCTCAGCAAAGTTATCAAAGCCAAGATACCAATCATAGACAAACTAGTATTGTCAATCATCTGGCAGTAGCAGTCAGCTTTCACCTTTGCTAAGATCAAGGCATTAACTTTACAACTTTTCTCCTGGGCTCGTGGGCTGTGATCCTGCATAAATATGCCAAGACTTACAATATCCTTATAGGATTGCAAGAATTGCCAAAGACAAACACTGGGATGATAACCTCAATTGGTGCAAAGAAAGAGATAATTCGACTGAAGGTGTCTCTGGAGGTAAACACAAAAGTGACGGGATTGCTCAGGACAGATGCATGGTCCAGGTCCGCGGCCAATACTAGCATAACAAATAGTCCAACAGATTTTAACACTGGTATCGCACTTTGTTATGCGGACTCAGGTTCCGAAGATCAAAGTGTCTCCGTTTGCCCGAACTTAGTTGAAGTAGGTTTCAATTTCGTGCAGATCCCCATGGCTCGAAGCTAAGCCCTAGCTAGACTTGCAGTTTACTTCTTATTTACATCAGCCGCCCTGATGGCAGCATACCAAATTTAATACTCTCATACGACACTGGACATCTCTCCAGTATGCATGCCAGACATTTGTGTAGCTCCCTCGCCCAAGTAATATATTCCATGTCTCAAAACAGCGAGCTCCAAATATCACAGCTACCACTCATCAATCAAAGTCAATTGGGCCAAATTCTAGAATGGCAGTGTCCTTTCAAAAGCGTTTCTCCCACCCAATCAGTATACCAGATCATCTACGAAAATTCCAATCTACGACAGGAGCACATTGCATTGGACGCTTAGGACGGCTCCTTGACATACCATCAACTTATTATATACACTTCTGTGCTCTGCCTCCGACTGCAGGCACTCGGCGTGAAGCCGGGTAGAATGATAGCAGCTTGCTTCAGGAAGTCAGCCTGGGCTGTGGTGGCCATGTTAGCAATTAACAAGGCTGGTGCATGTTTTGTGCCATTAGACCCATCCCACCCAGTATCTCAGTTGCGCAGGATCGTGATGCAGTCTGAGTGCTCAATAATATTGACGTCGGAGCGTGATGAAGAACTATTGAAGGGTATTAGGCCGTCAATCGTGGTTGTATCAAAGTCCGCTATACCAGTCTCCGATTACTCAGCCAAGATGTCGTCAAGCGCCATGTTCGAGTTAGAGTGCCCGGCATACTGTCTGTTCACATCCGGGAGTACCGGGGAGCCCAAGGGCTGCATGGTAAATCATGGCGCCTTTGCGAGTATTGCGGACCACTGCATCGCGATTAGTGTCAATGCATCTAGCCGTGTGCTCCAGTTTGCTTCCTACAGCTTTGGGATATCCCTTATCGAGATATGGTGTACCCTCATTGCTGGAGGAACTGTCTGCGTGCCTGCAGAAGAGGACAGAGATAGTCGACTCTCTGACGTTATCAATGAGTTCAAAGTAAATTACGCCCTATTGACACCTACAGTGCTGGATTCATTGACGCCAGAGAGTGTGCCCACTGTGAAAACTTTGCTAGTCGCGGGAGAACCTCTGAAAGAGTTCCAGGTTGGTCGTTGGGCCCAGGCCGTAAACCTTTATCAGGGTTATGGTCTAACGGAGTGGGCGGGATTATTCTCGATCTCGCCTAAGGTGCAGTCAAGTGGGGACCTTGGCTGCATTGGCTGTCCCATTGCTGGCAGATGCTGGCTTCTTGACCAGTTTTCTCCCAACAAGCTGGCCGGAATTGGCACGGTAGCTGAGTTAGCGATTGAGGGCCCTAGCCTCGCACAGGCATATATCAATGACCCCGCACGCACCTCTACAAGCTTTCTAGAGTCACCGCAGTGGATGCCAAATATTTATGAGGAAGGTCACAACAAGAAGGTGATCTACCGCACGGGCGACTTGGTTTACTATGATTCCCAAGGAAATCTCCGGTATGTCTGCAGGAAGGACAGCCAGGTTAAGATACGTGGTCAGCGTGTCGAGCTGCGTGCGATAGAGACTCAGATCGGCCAGAATGCTGTCGTGGAAGACATAAGGCCAGTAGATGATACCGATCAATCAGTACTGGTGGCATTCGTACCGGTTAAATCCCTTAGTGTGCGTTGCCTCGACATTCATGAGCAAGCGGGCAATGTTTCCACCGCGAGGGTGGATGAAGCATTCAAAAGAAGTGCCGCTTTGACGAAGAAAAGACTTGAAGCGCAGCTACCAAATTACATGGTACCAAGTATTTTCATACCGGTTCAAACAATGCCATTGACAATATCAGGCAAGGTCGATCGTCTGAAGCTGCGGACTTCCGTGAGCGGACTTTCCCGCCGCCAGATTCTGGAGCTGGCGGGACTACGACATGGTGTTATTATGCCATCTACAGAGCAAGAGCAAACACTGCATAGGCTCATCGTAGACTTATTGAATCTCAAGGCCGATGAGGTGGGCATGGAGCAAGACTTCATTTCACTCGGGGGTGATTCAGTCATGGCAATGCGGCTGGTAGGCAAGGCACGACACGAAGGTTTACACTTCACGGTTCAGGATGTCTTCAAAATGCCCGTGTTGAGGGAATTGGCCCTGGTAGCGAAGGTGACGGACAGGGAAGACCCTCGCCCAGACATCAAGCCATTCAGTCTTCTTGAACCAACTTCGCGAGAGGCTACAGTTGCTCTGGCCGCTCAGGTTTGTCGGGTAAGGCAAGAGCGAGTCGAGGATGTATATCCTTGCACTCCTCTCCAGGAAGGAATGATGATTCTTGGGGCACAGCAAAAGGGGAAGTATATCGCACGGTTTGTCTATCGATTGGAGCCCACCGTTGATCTGGCCCGGCTTCGTGCGGCCTGGGACCAGACCGTTATTGCCAATCCGATTCTTCGAACTAGAATCATCGAAACGGATGGAAAAGGAATGCGTCAGGTTGTCGTGCGGGAGACAATTGTGTTGACTAATGTCGCTGAAGCCCAACCAGTGCCAACGAGCTTCGGTGACCGCCTGATAAATGCAAATCTGATCGAGGCCAAAGATGGACATTCCGACTCATTCATGATTCTGACGATGCATCATGCGATATGCGACAGATGGTCTGTGCAGCAATTGATGTGCCAGCTGGAGAGCGCGTACAAAGGGGTAGCACCGAGCCCTAATTCTTTCAGCCGGTTTATCCAGCATATTCAAGACATGGACACAACAGCCGCTGAGGCGTATTGGAAGTCCCAATTTAGTAGCCTGGAAGCAGAGGCTTTCCCTAAGCTTCCCTCGAAGGACTATAGACCCAACGCAACCGAGTCGATGACCCAACGAATCGATCCGCCATATGGAACTCCAACAGGATTCACAATGTCCACGATACTCCGACTCGCACTGGCCATTGTCATCGCGCACTATTCCAGTTCTCCTGACGTTGTGTTTGGAGCTACGGTCACCGGCCGGGCAGCTCCCGTGCATGCGGTGGAAACATTGACCGCACCCACCGTCGCTACAATTCCGGTGCGAGTAAAGCTGGACCCCAGCAGCAAGATCACCGACGCTCTTGATATGATCCAAACCCAGACCAGTGAGATGACGGCCTTTGAGCAAACCGGCTTACAGGCCATATGTAAGTGCAGTCCGGAAGCAGACACTGCTTGTCGTTTCCAGACCCACCTCATCGTTCAGCCCTCATGGGATGCGACGACACATACCCTCTTCGCACCAGTTACAGAGGGCGCCACAACGGCAGGCGGTTTTACGGCCTATGCACTGGTCGTGCTCTGTAATTTAATGGACAACTCCAGTGTAAATGTTACAGCTGAGTTCGACACCGGGGTGCTGAGCACCAATGAGATGACATGGATCTTGAAACATTTTCAACACGTTGTTCTGCACCTTCTCACAAACCCGGAGCAAAAGATAAGCCATGTTCCCACAATGAGTGACTTCGAAGTGGATCAGCTACGCCAATGGAATCGAACACTACCGTCGACAATCTCTTCATGTGTCCATGAGATTATTCGTCAGCGATGCATCGACAATCCCAGTTCCAGCGCAATCTGCGCGTGGGACGGCGATTTCGCCTTCGACGAACTCGACCTTTGGTCGGCTCGGCTTTCCACATTCCTCGTACACCGGGGTGTAGGACCCGACGTCTTTGTGCCTATCCTGTTCCAGAAGTCTCGGTGGGCGATAGTCGCCATGTTGGGGGTTATGAAAGCAGGAGGGGCCTTCGTGATGCTGGACCCGATACAACCACGGCAAAGGTTGATGGCCATCTGCAAACAGATCAATGGACCTGTCCTGATATCCCATATGGAAAACGAACACCTTGCTGCGATGCTACACCCAAAAACCGTCATTTTAGACGAGAACATCATTAACATGCTGTCAACCAATCAACAAAGCGTTCCAGAAGCATCAGCGCGTCCCGATGCCGCACTGTATGCAGTCTTCACTTCGGGTACCACTGGAACCCCAAAGGGCGTCGTCATTGAGCATCGGTCATATTGCTCTGGAGCCATGGCCCATATAGAGGCATGCGGAATGAGCTCACAGACTCGAATGCTGCAATTCGCCTCATATTCGTTTGATACCAGCAGCATGGAGATCCTCAGTACTCTGATGGCAGGCGGGTGTGTTTGCGTCCCATCTGAGCATGGACGTAAGAACGATCTGGCCAACGAAGCAGCACGTCTGAAAATAACACATGCAATCCTGACCCCGTCGCTGGCTCGTCCCTTGCTGAGTACCTCGACATTTGCAGCAACAACCATCATTGTAGTGGGAGAGCCCATGACGAGATCGGATGTCTCGCAGTGGACGAGGCACTATCGATTGATGAATGGATACGGCCCATCGGAATGCTCTGTAAATGCCACTCTGCAGCCAAACAGTGGCACCGGCCCGGACATTGATCCCGCCAATATCGGGTTCCCAACGGGTGCTGTTTGTTGGATTGTCCATCCAGAAAATCACAACATCCTACGTCCCATCGGTGCCGTGGGGGAATTGTTGATCGAAGGACCGATTGTCGGTCGAGGATACCTCAATGATCCGGATCGGACCAGGGCTTCTTTCGTAAGCGCTCCCCCGTGGTTGCGAGATATCTGCCCTAGAGAGGGTGGCACCAGGCTGTACAAAACGGGGGACCTCGTCAAGTATACAAAGGATGGTTCAGTCGTTTACGTCGGACGGAATGATACACAGGTCAAATTGCGAGGACAGCGCATTGAGCTGGGGGAGGTAGAAGACCATATACGGCGATGTATTCGCGGCATTGTTGACGTTGTGGTTGAAAAGGTTCAACCATCAGCACCCACTGACAGTCCCTGTCTTGTGGCTTTCGTCGTCACACAACAGCAGACACCGGATAACAATGCTGAGGCGGTGGACCTTTTTGCAAAGCCAACCGACAGCTTTGCGGCACTTGCAGCAGCATGCCATACCAAACTACTCGCCTCTGTACCGGAATACATGGTCCCTGAGATCTTTATTCCCTTGTCTTCAACGCCGCGTACCGTGTCAGGCAAGACTGATCGTCGTCACTTGCGGAGCAAGGCATCCCAGCTTTCGTTTGTCGAGTTAAGCGCCTTCAGATCACCGAGGCCAGAAAAGCAAATGCCAATTAATCAAGCCGAGCACGTGCTGCAGGCGGTTTGGTCACAGGTGCTGAATCGACCCTTGCAGGATGTAGGAAGGAACGACAGCTTTTACCAACTGGGAGGAGACTCCATTTCTGCCATGCAGGTCGTGGCTCTGGCGTCCTCAAAAAACCTCTTCACATCGGTCGAGGATATCCTGCGCTTCAAGACAATCGCCGACATAGTTGATCAGGGCAGGCGGCATACCAGACCTGACATCCGGACAGGCCATTCTTTTGGGGTGCCTTTCGACCTGGCACCCATACAGCAACTTTTCTTTGAGAGACAAAGTAAAGTGACCCATCGGTTCAACCAGGAATTCCTCGTTTGCGTTACCAGGCGAGTCAGTTTAGATCAATTAAGACAGGGCCTTCAAACCATCATCTCCAGGCACCCCATGCTATGTTCAGTCTTTTTGCGACAGTCCAACGGACAATGGCAACAGATGCTCCGGCATATGAACGACAGCAACTCTCCGTGTGTCCACCACAGTGTGGTCCGACGCGATGCGTTTGATGCGGCTCTTACAGCCACTCGCCGGTCACTGAATATTGAGAGCGGTCCTGTTTTTGCCGCACATCTGGTGGATGTTCCCGATGACGAGAGGCAGTATTTGTTTTTGGTGGCTCATCATCTGGTCATTGATCTGGTATCATGGCGTATTATCTTTGCTGACCTGGAAAGTACCTTGAAAGAGGGGCCGCTTTGCGCGCCCCCGTCGGTATCTTTCCAGACGTGGTGCTCTCTACAGGACCAGTTCTGCAGGGAATCTCTCCCTCCAGCCCAGGCACTCCCAAAAGCCCTACCCCAGAATCATCACACCGACCCCAAAATTCTGTGGGGTCTTTCTGGAAGGGCTAATACTTTTGGGGATATTGCAACCGAAAGGTTCACGGTGGATTGGGACGTCTCGCAGCAGCTGCTGGGTGGGGCTAATCAGGCCTTCAATACCAGGTCCGTCGAAATCTTCAACGCCATCGTTCTGTATTCATTTGCCGGGGTCTTCCAGGATCGTCCTCCTCCCTTGGTATTCTCCGAAGGCCATGGCCGCGAGCCTTGGGACCGTTCCATTGACCTGGCCCAAACCGTTGGATGGTTTACGACGCTGTGGCCGGTCATCGTGGATATGCAGAAAGGAGAAGGTTTTATCCAGATCCTGCGCCTGGTCAAAGACGCCTATCGCCAGATCCCCAAAAACGGATGGGCATATTTCGCGTCAAGATATCTTCATCCCGAAGGTCGCCAGAGTCTTCATACTCCTTACTCAGCTGAGATCATCTTTAACTATACGGGCGAGTATCAACAATTCGAACAGGCGAATTCCCTCTTCCAATCCGATATCCACACAATCCAAGGGGCCCTGGATGCCGCAGACGATGTCGAGCGCCTCGCTTTGTTCGACGTGACGATATCAGTGTCGCACGGGTGCTTGCAATTCCATTTCATATATAATCGCCATATGTTGCATCAACAGGCCATCCAAGATTGGATCCAAGCATGCAAGCTCAATGCAACCGCTGCGTGCAGATCCTTATGTGGTCGCCCATGCAGGCCCACCGTGTGTGATTTTCCCCTAATGTCGCTGTCGTACCACCAGCTCGATGAATTTATCGATAACACCTTACAATCCATGGGATTCACATGGGATGACGTGGAAGACTGCTATCCCTGTTCCCCGGCACAGCAAGGGATGCTCGTGGCGCAAGCAAAGGACGCGGGCAGCTACATGGTCCAGGTGACATGGAAGATCGAGTCGATGGACGGCCAAGAAATGGACCTGCTTCGTCTAAAGCGCTCCTGGGAGGAGGTCGTCAAGCGTCATGCGATTCTGCGAACCATTCTTGTCGACGGAATATCCGGCGGCTCATACCTTGACCAGGTGGTGTTGAAAGCCACGTCTCCAAAGTTGCTCCCCAACCGATGTGCGCGATCCGGGCAGACGAAGGGAGAGCTACTGTATACCATGACCTTTTCTGATAATGAGGGTAATGGCTGTGTTTGTCAGTTAGAGGTCAATCACGCTATTATTGACGCGGCATCCTTGGACATTCTGAAACGAGATCTCATCTCTCAGGCATGCGATGAATGCTTGCCCGGTTGGCAGCGCCCCTTGTACAGTGATTTCCTCCGGTACCTGCACAGCCAGCCATCAGAGCCAGCACACCAATATTGGAAGGCCTATCTACACGGTGTGCAGCCCTGTCACTTTCCGAGCCTCGTAGCCGACCACCCTGGGCCTGCTGCCTTGCGGCACGTGTCGAAACGTCTCCCCAATGGCCCTCAAATCCATAAATTTTGCAAGGAATCAGAGATCACTATATGGAACATCGTCTGCCTTGCCTGGACGTTCGTTCTACGGTGTTATACGTATGCGGAACAGGTATGCTTTGGTGTTGTAAAGTCGAGCCGAGACCTGCCAATCAGCAATGTCGAACACATTGTCGGACCAATCCTGAACATGCTTCCGTTCTATCTGTCCCTGGATGGAACGGAGATCGCGGATCAGGTGCTCCAAACCATTAAACAAGACTATCTCGCGAGTCTTCAATATCAGACCGTCCCGCTGTCTGATATTCATCAGCTGGCTCAGACCTCTCAGCAGCCCCTCTTCAATACGGCAGTCACAGTACAACGTGCGCATGGCTGGGGCGACAAGAGCAACGGCCGTATGAGGATTGAAACCCTATCCAAGGACGAGACCACGGAATACGACCTTCTACTGTCGGTCGACTACACCGATGATACCATTGATGTCCAGCTCCGATATAAGACGGGAACACTGTTTGAGCCTCACGCCCGCAGTGTGTTGGCCACGTTCGAGGAAGCCCTGTCCAGCGTCGTCCTCAACAGTAAACTGGGAATCGATCAAATCAATCTCGTCGGTTGTGAAGACCAAGCTCTTATTCGGAGCCGCAATTCCTCCCTTCCTGCTACGGTTGAATCGTGTATTCACGATATGATTGACCTCCAATGTTCCAAACGACCTCATGCCACAGCCGTCTGTGCATGGGATGGCGATTTCACGTTTCATGAGATCAAGGCTCTGTCGTCTAGGCTGGGCAGTCATCTGACCATGAAAGGGGTCTGTCCCGAAGCGATCGTGCCTATTTGTCTCGAGAAATCCCGCTGGACCGTGGTTGCGATGCTCGGGGTGTTGAAAACGGGCGGTGCATTCGTTCTCTTGGATCCGTCTCATCCTTATGCGAGGTTGCGGACACTCTGTGAGCGAGTGTGCGCGAAGGTGATCCTATCTTCACAGGAGAAGGTTGAGCTGAGCCGAAAGCTCTGTGACGATGTGGTGATCGTCAGCACCGACGGTTCCTCATTGTGGTCCGACACCCTTATGACCAACTCTGCCAGACCCGCGGCACAGCCAAGTAATGCGGCATATATCATTTTCACCTCCGGCTCGACCGGTACACCGAAGGCCGTTGTCATCGAACATCGGGCGTTTTGTACGGGGGCGTTGAGTCAAATCGCCGCACTTCACCTCAACGAGGCCACCCGATTCGCCCAGTTCTCTTCCTTTGCGTTCGATATCTGTATCCTCGAGCATTTTGCCACCTTGATGGCGGGTGGATGCATCTGTGTCTTGTCGGAGTCACAGCGCCAGGACCGATTAGAGGAACATCTCCAATCTCTCCACGCCACACATGCCCTACTGGTTCCTTCGGTTGCCCGGCTCCTCTCGCCGACGGAAAACACCCTCTCGACCCTCATCCTCGGCGGAGAGTGCATGAGCCAGACGGATGTGTCCACTTGGGCCGATCGTGTCCGTCTCCTCAATATCTATGGACCCGCCGAGTGCTCTGTCATCTCGACGGTGCAGGCTTCGGTCCGACGGGGATCCGATCCCCGGAATATCGGCCATCCCTGTGGGTGTGTTTGCTGGATTGTGGACTCCTATGATGTGAACAAACTGATGCCCAACGGTGCTGTTGGAGAGTTATTGATTGAGGGGCCGATTGTCGCCCGTGGTTATCTCGACGATATTGAACGGACCGCTGAGGCTTTTGTTCGGCCACCGGCGTGGTTTGGAGATCGCAGAAAACCGAGTAGCTTTTATCGCACCGGCGATTTGGCCCGATTCAATGTCGATGGCTCGTTGACGTTCCTGGGACGCCGAGATATGCAGGTGAAGTTACGTGGTCAACGGATTGAGCTCGAAGAGGTGGAGGCTCATGTGCGGTGGGCGTTGGACGGTGCTGTGGACGTTGTGGCCGAGGTGGCGGTCCCTGAAGGAGTCCACCGGAATCCTGTGCTCGTCGCCTTTGTTCTGTTTCTGTCGAATGATGCTACGTCCCCGGCCGATGGTGTGGTCCTGACTGCTCCCTCCACAGCCTTCTATACGAAAGTCGCCGGGGCAAAGACCAAACTCCAACAGTCCGTTCCCAGCATGCTGGTGCCGTCCATATTTGTTCCCATACTACGTCTTCCACGCACAGCGTCCGGGAAAATTGATCGCAAGTCTCTCCGGCAGACCTTCGAGGCCTTTTCACCGGATGATCTGGCGAATTTCCGGACTCATCCATCCGCAGGTCCGCAGAACCCTCCATCCACGGAGGTCGAGCACAAACTACGGCAAATCTGGGCAGAAGCTCTTGCCCTCTCGCCATATTCGATCGGGTTAAGTGACAATCTCTTCCACTTGGGGGGCGACTCCATTGATGCCATGAAAGTTGCCGCTCTTTCCCGCACGGCCGGGATCCCCGTGAGCGTTGCCAGTATATTTGCCGCGCCCACGCTCGAGGATCTCGCGAAGAAAGCCGCCTCGACCACCTTGACAGAGACGATCGTTCCCAGATCATCCTTCAGCATGGTGCGTTCCGAGGTTCGCAACTATTTCACTGCAAGACTGGCGACGCACGAACCGAGCGCACGCGATCCGGTCATTTCCGATGTGCTTCCGGCCACCGAAGTCCAACGCTTTTTCATTGAGCGTCGCACCCTGCACTATTATAACTTTGCATTCTGCGGGAATCTGGACTCTGGCAAACTTCGGAGGGCATGCGAAGTGATGATGGCCCGATATGCCATCCTTCGTACCCTCTTTATGGTGTATGAAGGCGACCTGTTTCAAGTCATTCTGAACACACTCGAGGCCCCATTTGGCCATCATCACCATAAAGGCAATGATCTCCGAGCCTTCGCCCAGCAGCTGTGGGCGGACGATCGGAGCCAGTTCAATATCCTGACCGGACCCGCCATTCGGTTCATCCTCGTCTCCGGCTCGGGACCGAACCACATCTTCAGTATTCGGATTTCGCATGCGCAATGGGATGGCGTGTCGTTTCCCTGCCTTGTCCATGACCTAATGGCCGCCTACAATGGAATCAGCTTGCGTCCGACCTCGGATTTTGCCGACTACCAATATTATCGCGCCGCCCACAGTGGTGCAAACGCCTTTGCCTTCTGGGAGCGATACTTGCGCGATGGCGCCATCACTTCCCCCTTCGAACCCCGGAACCCTGTGGACTGTCTCCCCGGGGAGGAATTTACGACCAGGTGGCATGTTGAGGCCATCGCGCGGCCGCGGTTGCCCCTGGGGATCACCATGGCCACGCTCGTGAAAGCCGCCTGCGCCTGGTATATCGCATGCCTCACATCGCAAGACGACATCATCATCGGGCAGACGGTCAACGCGCGCAGTCTTCCCATGGACCATATCGATGTAGTCCTCGGCCCCTGTCTCAATTTCATCCCATTTCGAGTGGCCTTCCACCCGCAATGGACCATCCTTGATCTCCTAAAGTCTGTCCGCGCACAATATACTGAAACACTGGGGCATGAGTTCGTCGAATTTAGGGATATAGTGCGAAATGCCACTAACTGGCCGGAGAACACGCAATTTGGTGTAATCGTACAACACCAAAACATTCAGCTGAGACATGACATGGACCTAGGAGGCATTCAGGCGGAATACTCCCTCTTTCCACAATTTGATCCTAGGGATGAAGTATTCATTTTCACAGAGCCTTACCACAACCGGTTGGAGGTTCAAGTATGTTCAAGTACTAGGATTCTCTCGCCGGAGCGTGGTAGATCCATGGCCCAGGGCATCTCCGCAACCATTGAGCGCTTCTCACGCTCATCGGAGATGTTAGTATCTGACTTGAGGACAATGGAAGGTCTGTCCCAAATGTGATTGATAAAGCGTCAGGGCTCTTCCCGTTTGAGGGAGAGTCCATTATTTGCACAATGTATGTCAGAATCAATGAACATGTGAACCATACTTGGACTAGTTTTTGGATCTTAATTTGGCTACAGTACAGACTTTCTCATCATAAGCTACAAGCTCTTCTCTTTGTAGCCATCACCTACTAACGATCAAGAAATGAGATACCTCACGAAGCTATCGCATTGGCTGAGCAATGCATAGATACGAGAGGGGGGATGTGCCGTGAATACCCCAAAAGCCAACCATCGTGCGAATGACTAGCACAAATATGTTGCGCAGAATCAACAATCTTCTTGGATGCAAGGGCTAACACGTCGAAAGATGCGATAGAATGTGGCCGGAGCGCTTTCCCCAGCCAAAGTGTAATAAGAGACGGATAAAGTAACCAGCTCTTTCCGTTGCCCCTTGACCTGACTTCTTGCCCGTACTACTCAATCATGCCAAGCCTCACATTCATATATAGTGTTGAATCAATACCAGAACTATTGTCGCAAAAACAAAATAGAAGGCGATGAATGCGAAAAGGAACCCTATCTCGACGGCCTCGAAGAGTGACATACCCATTGCTTCTGATGAAATAGTCATTGACGCCGTTTACGACAACCGCCAACTGATAACTGCCAATCTCACAAGATATCGGCGCCTGTGCTTGGTTAAGGCACCTTCTCGATGATAGAAGTCAATGGGGGATAAGGCTACCCAAAATATAGGTCCACCTACATGTCCCGAGGCATCACTTACCTACCATGATTAGAAAAGTAATGGCCTTAGCGTCCGTAGCGTAGTAGGGTCAGTGTTAAGATACCACATGCCACACTCCACAGGGTAAGCAAAATAGGTGAATTACAACTTTAAACATTTTCTGAATCAGTCGATTTCGCAGGCTGCGTTCATAACCAATTCCACTCTAGCTAGCTTGGTCCTAAGCTTATTTATAGCAGCTTGTGCTTCCGCGTAGAAGAAACAGGGTGTTTGGGCCGCTTTTTGATCTCTAATAATTAAATTACTCATCTTTTGACACCTACGGCCTTGTTGCATTGATGGCGCATCTGACTTTAATTCTAATGACCGAATTAAACGTGCGTCTGCTGATGATATATATGTCCCAAGCGAGAGTAACCGAGCAATCACACTTACCAAGGGACCTTGCAATTTCGTCAGCAAATACGATGTAGTTAATAATACACGATTTATCACACGTCATCAAATATTTCGCTAACACTTTATTGGTCAAACGCCAGGAAATGCTCATAAACCCTGCATAGTATGGAGTCCACCACAGGCGGAAACATCGGACATCGCGCTCCCCGACTAACAGCGATGCTTAGAAATCCAACTATGTGATCCCGGATTCAATACCTATGAGACGATAAGTTTATATTAATGGTCGCACAGTCGGGTAACGACCAAGTTGCAGACTTAATGGTTCCGATCATCAACACTTGTCTAAGATATACAGCCCTCCTACGTTCGCATAAAGCATGGCTTCCGCATCAAAGGTTGTGTTTATCCTGGGAGCTGGCCCCCGTATCGGCATGTCAGTCGCCAAGCGCTTCCTAAAAGATGGGTATAAAGTTGCGATCGGAAAACGGAATCCTCGGAGCCTGCAGGATCCCGAACTCAAAGACATGTACTCGGTTGCTGTGGATGTGTCTCAGCCATCATCGGTTGCCTCTGCATTCAAAGAGGTGACTGAAAACCTTGGAATTCCCCAGCTAGTCGTCTACAATGGTGAGAAACTATGGCAGTGCAATCGGTCATTTGTCATTAGCCGTCATTTCTAATCCTATTATATTAGCTGCGCTTGCCACCTTCCCGGCAGATCCTACCAATCCATTCACCGTTGCCCCAGACGCTTTTCAGCAAGACATCGCTGTCAATGCTACTGGAGCTTATGCTGCACTCTACCATGCAACAACCGGGTTCCTGCAGTTGAAGGAGCAAGACCGCACCGTTGCTCCGGCTTTTATCGCAACTGGAAATCTGACTCCCTTCATGCCTAAACCTCTTTTTGTTACCCTAGGAACTGGGAAGAGCGCTCTGGCCTATCTCATTAATATAGCAAATAAGGCGTATAGGGAAAGAGGACTGCGGTGAGTGAACCCATACTTGTAGAATAGCACAGAAGTGACTGATATACCTGCAGATTTTACTACGCCGCAAAAACCTCTCCACTAGGTGGGCCGCCACAGGTGGATGGACCGGAGTATGCCGAGGCATTTTCTCAGATCGTCAAGGGAGAGCTAGGAGGGGAAGGGTGGGAAGTCCGATTTACTGTGAACAACGAAGGGAATATCGTCGAGATATCTCATTAGTAAAGTAGAGTTCGACGAGGCTGACTAAACTTTGGCTGCATGGTGAATGTACGTACTGTAAGGAATGGCAAAGAGATTCAATACACTCTACAGCTTAGAGACTTGTCTCTGTATGATTACTGTTGGAGATATAATAAGCAGGCAGTTATTATAAATTCTGTATTACTCCCATGATGTCTGTGTTAGGGCTCCATGAACTGCACGTCATCATATTCAACGAGGTTCGTATATGCCAGAAGAATGAGGGAACTTGCTAAGGTTGTTTTTGGGTGTTATGTACGCTGTCCTCCTCTTATCTGCTTCTTGTCAACGGGTATTGACCGACTCGAAGATGCCGTACAAACTTCTCAAGGCCATGATCAATGTCGCCAGCTATTTTTGGTCGCCAGCCATATAACGGTTGGTTAATAACAGAAACAGGGCAGAAATGGTTCCCGCCCAAACTCCTTCACTCCCAACTCTCCGTAGTGTGAAGATTTCTATCAGCTTGACTAGTGAGAGCGAAAGCCAGAACCAGTCTCTCTGCGGCGATGGAGGCCCCCTTGGTCGGGAATAAAACTGTTTTTGGCGAGGCCTCAATCACCTTGGAAACAAAAGGCATAAGAGAGAAATGCAATGTCGAAAACCTAAGCTGCTTCGCAACTCCAATTCCTTCTCAATACTTGACTCAGACCTCACGCGCATCCAGACCATTATTGCCTTGAACTCGGAGCTCCTAGTTCCTAGAGAACTAGCAAAGATATGCAACATAACCTCAGATCCGGAATTCAAGTGAACAGGATTTAACTGAGACAGAGCATCGCAAGCTCTTAGTTATTCTTAGAACCCTGTGCTTTTAATGCCTTCAATACAACCAATTATTAGGGCCTTAAGATAGTAACCAGTCATCTTAGAAAAGGAGTCACCATAGACGTGCAAGATTGGAGGACGATGATGATCGACGTGATCTTAAGGAAGGGGTCTTCGGCAGGTTCATAGGGATATATACATGTGGCCGGACCACGCGTTTGTATGTGACATACTATTACGTAAAATTCTACAGTATAGGATAGCTAGCACGACTGTTGTCAGCTAGTCGCTGCTTGCTTAGTTGAGTCTTCAGCTAGACAAAAGGACTGGGCAGTAAGCCAAGACATAACACTTTTCCCCAGGCAAGGTTGCTCTCACCCCTGCAGTATCTTGTGTGTAAATACTCTTTGACAGCTCGGAGGCCCCTGCCATTCTTAATTTGCGAACTGCAGGGGTCAGAACAGAGACAAGTTTGGATCATCCCGGATATCCAGGAAGCTGGGGGCCAAGTGGCTGTATATACTCTGATCCGCCCTCCCTTCCACCATTCCCGTTTGTGCTTATAGTCCATTTCAGTCACGCAGCTATTGCGCCTGATCCAAAGCAGAGCTTGCAACGGAGAAAAACTCCGTTGCAGTCTCTTTCTTCCTCAGAAAAGAGCTTGCAGCCACTTAAGATATCCAGGTTTCCTTGAGATGCGATATGGCGTGCAGCAAACTCTTCAAAAAGCCACCGGGTAGAAACAATTGTAGTGTGGCTCTATGAAAGGGATTGTGGAGATAGAAAGAACACTGTAAACATGATCTCTCTCATCCGTTGCAAATCATCTGCGGCTCATAGTTAGACACTCTAAAGCGTCTAGAGGGCTGTGAGTGGTCCACTCCTTAGTTGGTGATTCCAGCAGTTGGGATTGATAATTTCACTGAAAACTGTGGAAGAACATCGGCATCTTCAGCGAGATAATTCAAGTTGAACACGGCAGACCGAATAGGGTCATTTCTATCCGATCTTCCGAGTCCAGAGGCTTGAGGAACGAACTCGGTATGAAGTGGATGAACAAGATGCAGATAGCGGGCCAAGCCACCGTAGGGTGACCACAACATACCATGACATTCTCAGAAAGCAAAGGTTCTTCAATGATACAAGCTCTCATCTAGTAAGGACGCCGGAAGAACAAGGCAAGGGCTGTCTAACATGGCGCGAATGTCAGATTCTGAAAAAAAGCCAAAATCGCGATCATTTATATATTTAATAAGTTGTTGCTGAAGGAGTTGTAAGAGGTGCATAGCACTTGTACTTGGATTGCTCTTCACACCCAACTACACAAAGACGATTCTGGCGCTTCAGTACATATGACCCATTATTGACACCGGCTCTGCTTTCTCTCTGCTTTCTCGTGATTATCTGCTTGATTGATACATGCATCTACCCATAGATGTATGTGCTCTTCCCTTTGCCTTACGTGCTTCAATGCAGCATATAAGTTGAGTTGAATGATCTTTTCTTCTCCAGCAATATCGATCATCGGCCTGCACTTTCAACCCCCCAGCGATATGCTAATATGCCATAGAAACTGAGAACCTCTAAAGGGTCGTTTGTTGTCCGCGCCATGGTGGTGATGCACGCAGTCAGCAATGGGCAGAGTGAGGTTGTAATTGTATTTTGTGTCAGCCCATAATGCCCCTCATTTCCTGCAGTAAGCCGCGCTAGAAAGCTCTTCTGTTTCAGGATTAGCCTTGTGCTCTGGGTAGTTATTAAACAGCTTCAATAATGCCCTTTAAATCCGCATACATCCATGCAATGTTGAAGAAGAGCTACGTCTGCTCAGTGATTACAAATGCTCTATTCCTGGAAAGGTTGCTTACTTCCAGCCAGCCTCATCATGCCAGAGCAAATGGCGTTAGAAATTTCTGTCGAAACCACAGCTGTAATTGGCTCGTGGCTTGGCTCTTTCAGCGGCCCCACGGCAGGGCGGCTGCGGTATCGTGAGCTCCGTGTGGGTGGGGTAGTCGTGATAGCGTAGTTTGCCCCAGGCGCCTGAATGATGGTTAGCCCGTTGTGCATAAAGGACAGACCGGGCCCTTACCTGATTACCAGCGAGGGTCGTGATTCTGAGCTTCCTTCCCCCGGGATTCCCCTTTCACAATCTTCACTCATCTCTTTGTAAGAATGGCGCAAAATCTTTCCGCACAAGAGGTCATCGAGACCTTGAATCTCTCCCCGCACCCAGAAAAGGGCTACTATGTCGAGACCTTCCGCGACCGCTATTCATCAAACGACCGCTCGCATAGCACCTGCATTTATTACCTTCTCGATGGAGAAAGTGGCCCCTCGCGATGGCACCGTGTTCTCGATGGCGCTGAGGTATGGCATTACTACGCTGGCGCCCCTCTGCAACTATCACTATCCTGGAATGATGGGAGTCCTATACGGGATATAATTCTGGGAATTGATTTTAAAAACGTGAGTTATTTCTCGAAATATGTATAGCTTATTGTAGGTTTCACGGCCGCTCGATAAATATGCTTAAATCTATTGATATAGGGCCAACGGCCACAAGCTATCGTTGAGCGTGGAGAGTGGCAGCATGCGAAATGTCTAGGTGACTGGACACTTGTGGGTTGCACAGTGGCACCGGCCTTCCTGTTCGAGTCGTTTGAGATGGCTGAACCGGGATGGGAGCCCAATGGCCCCCATGTGACTACATGCGACACCACCTTTTCCAAGAGTTCGCCTTAATGTGGCTGAGGTAAAATGACTACAGGTGGCCCTCACCCTTTGGAAGAGTTCAGGTGAATGTGGCTGAGGTGAAACTGTGAACAAGACAACCCCAGATCACAGGATATATCTCTACTATAAAGGATTAAAGGTTAACTAAGCTTAATGCTATAATTTGTTGACCACGTTCTATACTGGGCTTAAGTACAGCTGAGCGGACGGAAAGCCCTGTTTTCCACACCCTATGGTCTTATGTGCTTGATTCTCTGGACGAGTAGAATATATAGTGTCCTATCAATAGCTCTAGAAGGCTATATAAGGTCAGCTTGAAGGTAAAAGCATGTGGAATATTCACAGGATGGATTGAAGCTCGAGTGTTTGTCAATGATGTGTTAATGTCTGCTAAGCCTTCAACCCTCTGCCATAGAGTGGTTATTTGAGCAAAAGCTCCACCCTGAAAATAAGGTGAGAGCAGTACATTGTCTAATAAGTGAAGATATCTCCTTCATCTCATCCAGGCGCGCCGTAATCAACTAGATGTTGTATTAGACTGCAACTTTAATGAGTTGGCGTCAGGTTTGTCAGAACTAAGGCATGATTTTATCTGACGATGTAGATAGTCACTACCTAAGCCATGTCAATAAAGTTCAATAGTGACTATGGCCTCACTGACTACTAATTCAGGATCATTGGTGTTCATGAACTTCTCTGTCCACCCTCCTACCGTCCTCATTTGGCTCGCTCCTTCCCAAGCTGAATGCACCATCAACCTGCCTCACCTTCAATTTTGAGATCAACCAAGGAACCTCTCTTCGTAGTGTTGAGCGCCGGTCGCATCGTCACCTCGACTTATTAGGTTGCGTCTCATAGCTCTCAGCCGTCATGTCTCACTGGGTACTGTTTTCCGCCTTTGTCCTAGCTGTTGTGCTTCTCACCTGCTGGGTTGTCTGCGTTATCCGACCGGAGTAAGCTCCTCCTATCCTCTTCTTCTCAGATACAGTACTGACATGTCTGGTGAATCATAGACTCGACCGGATACTTGACCGCATGTTCCCCGAGTACCGCCCGAAGACACTGAGAGAATACTTTTTTGCTGTCAAGCTTGTTCGAAAACGACGTAAGACGCGACGACCATACTCTGTTTCTATGGAGGAATCTAACGAGAGGCTTTACAACACAGGTCGGTGGACATGGCCTTCACGATGGCGAAGAATGTCAGGCGCGGAAAAGGATGATCTCGAAGCGAGAATACAAGCTGCGAGGCTCGAGTAGTGCCGGTCTTGAAATCAAAGACAGGATCTCTGATTCCCAATGGTACTATGGTCGAGACGTTCTCTCAGGCTGCTCACAACTCTACCAGATTGTACAGTACAGTGTTTGTCGGGATGCTGGAGCAACACTGGATATGCATGATGTATCAACTCATCCGCGCTTTGTCTACAATAAACACCTGCTAGGTTGTCTGTGGTGGAACAAGTGTGAATTGAAGTGTTTCCCATCTTTGAACGACATGAAGCAGTAAACGAATCCACAAGTTTATATTTCAGACCACTGCCGAGGGATCAAGTACCTTTGCCCCGGCGCTGCCCTCCCCCAGACTATTCTTTGTGGACCAAGACCACACCGCAATCACCAGCAGTCTTCGCGGCAGCCTCGTCAATCGCCCTTTCATAGTCCTTGAAATCAAACTCAATGTCGTGGAACCTGGACAACGACAGGTTCCCCATCTCAATGAGCCGGATCAACTTCGCTGGAGCCGTTCCGTCAAACATAAAATTCCCCTTCACCGTGATATTACGCGTCATGAGCTCTGAATAAGGCAGGCTAACCGCATCCGAAGTACCACCCATAAGAACCGCACGACCGTTAGCCTTCAACGCCGCTATCGCAGAGGAGATGTGTATCCATTTCTGTCCCTCTGCAGCAGATGCTGGAGTAAAATCAAGGAACAGATCCGCACCAAGCCCGCGAGGAGTGGCTTTTTTCATCGCATCTTTGAGGGAAGACTCATCGAGACCCTCCGTCGCAACCCCGACTACCTTTCCCTTTGGATAGCCACTCTGGATCTTCTCCAGGGAACTCATCCGTCGTCCCACAGCAACGACCCTTCCCGCCCCCATGGCAAGCGCAACATCAATCGCCGCACCACCGAAATGCCCAGTCGCAAAACACACAATCACCGTCTCCCCCGGCTGCAGTAGCCCCGACAGTAATCCGCCATACGGAACAAGCAGAGTGTTAATCCAGGTTAGCCGTGCCGGTGAATATTCCATCTGCTCACACAGCAGCGATTCATCGAGAACATGCACATTCTCCAGCGGGACGATCTGTTTCTCCGCCCACGAGCCATGCCGCCAGTCGTTCTCGGATAGGATGCGCGCTTCGGGGGTTATACCTCCGAAGAGACCCTGGAGGATGATGGTGCCTTGTTCCTTGAGAGGGTCATCGCGCGCGCGTACGGTAAGGTCAACGTACACTAGTTGGCCGGGTTTGACTGTTGTTGTGTCAGACCCGGTGGCCTCGATGCGGCCGATTGGGGATGCGCCAGGGGTGAAGGGGAGGGGGAGGGGGTAGGGGAGTTTGCCGGTGAGGATTGCGCGGTAGTATGCGAGGATAGGACTGGCGAGGACCTTGATGAGGACTTGGCCGGATTGGGGGGCTGGTGTTGGGACTGAGGCGAGGGTGAGTGGTGAGTTGATTTCAGGGAGGATGATGGCTTGGTGAGTGGCCATGTCGAAAGTGTCGGAATGCTAGGAAAGATGTCTTTGCAATGGATTGAGAGGTGTACACCTGGAACAAAAAGGCCTTTTATAGGCTGCTCAGATGGGGATATCGGACTTTGGCTGGTTCAATCAAAGGGAGACTGCCTCTCTTCAAAGGGCGCGAAGTAATATCATGACTCGTATTCGGAGTAGAGATGTTATCTCCTTTTTACTTTGAAGCAAATATGCATGCTCGTATTCGGTCGATATATTCTAGGGCATATTCTGACGGGATTATCAAAAGACTTATTTACGGTTGGCATCTCCGTTCATACGCCAAGGCAGTAGATTGGTCGCTTAAGTCCGGAATTGTCTCAAGGTGTTTCGCACGGAGTTAATGACTGCCTATAAGTCATAATACGAGACGTGGCTCAGGCCTGAGGACGCCAATTGAGCACCAGCCCAAACCTATCAAGCTGTTAGGTTGTGCTTCCTGGCAGCACCTCGTATCTAGAGCGATGGCGCCAGCCGCATTTCTTTTTTGGCTTGTTAATGAGTGGCTGTGCTCTCAATAAAATCTGTCAAGCAGGGAATACAGACTATGCTAAACGATCACCGGTATAGATGATCGTGTGTTCTGGGGAGCCCGACAAGTACAGATGTGGACTCTAAACAGACGGAGATATAAGAATTATATAAATAGTACCTCGTAGATTCATGATCTACCACTGCTATCTTCTGCTTTTTATGTCGCGATATTCCCAAAACTGAACATCATCATTCCGATCAGTAACAAATCTTGACTCTATGTAATGAATTGTTATATGCTAATGTGCCATGTGATCGAAATATAAATATTAGCATATTACTACTCCATTGCCTTTGGGGATACAGCTGTTGCGGCAACAAATCCAGTTTCAGATTTGGACGGCGAAGGGGAAAAAAAAAAAAAACTTTCCGCGAATCCTAACAAGAATAACGCCAATCTGGTTGGAGGCAATGAACTCGAATTGATTCTGTTTAATGATACCCTTAAACTATGATCCGAATTTGTCCAAAGTGAAACAAAATTGCCTTGATGGGAGTTTTCCTGAAGCGGGATAGCGGCATCTGCCCCTCGCCCCTTGTCCTCCCAATTGCGGGGTAATAATTCCTCCTAGATGGGGAGGTATTTAGGAGATAAGTATGCAGGTAGACATCATTGGGCTAGTCATCGGATTGTTGCCAGATTGATTGATATAGTGGATGCAGCCCGAGGACCATCAGGCACAATCCATCCCCATCATACCATCTCACCATCCACACATCAACCATCATACGAGGCCATGAACACGGATCCCGATTTGGACCAACAACAGAGTCCAGAGTAAGGTAAGCTCGACGAATGAATTCCAGAACAATCGTGAAACCATGCAGCTCAGAGAACCCGAAAGCCCAAAAGACAATCGATAATCAACGTATGACAACTTGCCAAATCCGGAACAATTGTCACCTTACCTGAAATCCTGCCGGCTTTTCTCATCCTTGCGACCAGTGAAAGCCCCCCACGTGGCGGCACAGAGATGCGGGTCTGCTCAGGACACTGATTTATGTTGTCATCGATTGCCACTCTCCGTGCGTTTTTCCTTAACACCAATTCATCTGGCGACAAAGTGAATGCTCACTTATGAGCAGACGATAACACCGCGTTGTCGAGATGGCGGAAGAAAAGGTCGTACCAGGCAAGCTGGAAGTCGCGCTCTTTCTCGCCGCAAGCAAAGGATACGATACGATCGTCAAACTCCTTTTGAGCACCCCCGGTGTGCGTCTCGATTTCAAAGACGAAGATGGGCGGAATGCAGTCTCCCTAGCCGCCGAAGGCGGACATGAGAGTGTTCTCCAGATTTTGCTCGAGACTGGGCAAGTGGACGTGAACGCGGTGGATGCTAAAACAGGCCAATCGCCGCTGTGTTGGGCCGTCAAGAATGGACATGCAGGCGTCGTGAGCAAATTACTCGCTCTTGAAAATGTCGATCCGAATATCCCCGATGCCAATGGCGAGACGCCCTTGTACGCGGCTGTGAAGGGTGGAAACGAGTCCATCATCCAACAGTTACTTGCACGGGCGGATCTCAATGCGAACACCCCCGACGCTGCCGGGCAGACACCGCTATACTGGGCTGTGAAGAACGGAAACGAAACAATCGCGGGGGCGTTACTAGGACGCGCTGAAGTTGACCCGAACGCCGCCGGTGCCGATGGACAAACGCCGTTGTACTTGGCTGTGAAGAATGGGCACGAAGGCATTATGAACCGTCTACTTGCGCGCGGTGAGATCAATCCTGACATCCCGGACACCAATGGCCAGACTCCCTTCTATTGGGCTGTGGAGCAGGGAAACCAGCCGTTCGTGGTGCAGCTGCTCAAGGTGAATGCCGATCCGGACGTCAAGGACAATCAAGGGCGTACGCCGTTGCTGTGGGCCGCGGAGAAAGGACACGAAGAGGTGGTTCGATTGCTGATCGGGTCGAGGAGAGTCAATGTGAACGCTGGCGATGCGGTCGGGAGGACGCCGTTGTGGTGGGCTGCTCGCAATGGTCACTTACCTGTGGTCCGACTGCTCGTGCGCCACGGTGCGGATAGAGAGGCGCAGCCTTCTCCAGATGACGAAAAAGGGGCGCACGGCACGCCGCTGTACCAGGCCGGCAGAAAGTACCATACAGACATAGTCAAATACTTGATCAAGAAGGGCGCCGACATCGATTCACCGTGTGGAGAGTCCGGCCTCCCGCTCCTGTTGGCGTTGGTGGTACACGATCGCACGAAGCGGGGGATGAAAATGCTCAATTTGCTGCTTGAGAAAGGTGCCAATGTCAACGCGAGAGATACCAAAGGGAGGACTACGCTACACATATTAGCCAAGGAAGGCGATGTAGATCTGACTGCCTTGTTCCTGCAGCGAGGTGCACAGGTGAATTCTGCCGCCAAGGATGGTACAACACCACTGCATCGAGCCGTTCTTCATGAACACGACGAGATCGTCGAGATGCTCCTGGCCAACGGCGCAGACCCCGAAGCAGCTGACAACACAGGAGATACACCCCTTCATCTCGCAGTGTTGGGAGGTCACAGACGACTAGTCGGCCTGCTACTAGAGAAAGACTGCGATATCAACGTGACCAACCACTGTGGAGAAACACCGCTGCACAAGGCAGTAGAACGCGGTCATCGCAAGATGGTGGAGTTTCTTCTGAGGAACGGGGCGGAACTCGAGATGGAGGACGACTACAAGAGGACCCCGCTCCATCGAGCAGTAAAAGCGAAGAACCACGTCATGAGGTTGCTAGTGAACAAGGGCGCCAACATCCATGCAATAGATATGTACGGTCAAACCGCACTACACATCGCCGCGGAAGCTGGACTACGCGATGATGTGCACTTTCTCCTGGGGCACGGCGCAGAAGCTGAATCGAAAGATCACAAGGGTCGCACACCACTAGATCTGGCAGCCAAGGCCGGCGAGGTCGAGGTCGAGGAGCTCCTCCATGAAATGAGTCTCGTCGTCGTCGACGGATCGTCGGGAAGCGAAGAGTCAGGGGGTTGACGGCGGTAGTCGATTGGTATTTGGAAGATGGTCAAAAGTCTATGGCATGATTGGATTGGCTAACTGTATTTGTATATCATCATTCTAGATCTCCATCAAGCGTACTCGTCATCTCATCCGTCATTCTTAGACCCCTCAATGGTGGACACACCCAGCAACAGAAATAGACATGTACTTCAATGTCGATACTGAATACTCTCAGCATTCTCACACCTCGGCTGTCCCATGCTGCCCCCTCACATCCAACAACGTATGTCTCCCACTACTCACCGACCGACCCATATCCTCCGATGGCATGGACGAATGTCCCACAGACCCCTGCCAATACGACTGCCCCGACAACGACGGCACGCTCCTCTCATCGCAAAACATGATCGACTCCCGATCCACCTTCAATCGGCTCGCTGATTTCCCGTTTCCGGGGGTCGGGGCCAACATGGAGAGCGAAGATTCTTGATCAGGTTGCTTCCTCGCCTCGATGCGCCGTTTCTTCACCCGATTGCGGAAGCATCGAACGATACAGGCGCCTATAAGAAAGGAGCCGAGGATGCTGAAGGTGACGATAGCGGCGATGGTGCCGCGGTGGTTCCATTCTTTTAATTCGGCAGATTCGGAGGCGGTTGGCGTGGTAGTTGAGGTTGTCGTTGTCGTTGTTGCTGGGGTTGTTGTGGTTGAGGCAGCGGTGGATGTCGATGAGGAGGATGTTGTGGCGGTGGTGCTGGAGGTACTGGAAGTTGTTGTTGAAGTCGTCGTAGCTGCTGTAGTGGTTTCCGTGAACGATGAAGAGGTTTCTGAGGTGCTTGAGGTAGTGGTGGATTCTGAGGTCGTCGTTGCATCGGAACTGCTGGTCGTCACGGAGGCCACACTTTCAGTAGCGATGGTCGATGTGACTGCATCCGCAATTGTCGTGGTATCGCGCTTTAGTATCCATTCTCCAAATCGCCTTTCCAGCCTCGAAAGATGGCTGCTGTCAGGTTTTGAGTCTTGTGAAGGGGTGCTCCTCGTAGCCGCTGGCAGGTTATATTCCCCGGATCCGCTGAAGTTGGATTGACAGACCACGAGCTGAATAGCTGCTAATGCAGAAATTATGTCTACCACTCTCATATTGGCTGATTGTTAACTCTGCCAAAATAATCTCTCTCTCTCGTGTGGGATTCAATAATTCTGCGAAAACAAGCACTTAAATTGGTTCAACCCAAAGTGGATCACCGCCCTTGGCCACACGTTCGTCCGCAGTCTACTCTTCTTGCGATTCTAAATGGGCTATTTCTGTCACTATTGCCAGTAATACAAGGCTTCGGAAGGCTGAAGATCCACTGTGTTCTCCTAGCATTGACAAATGTCGCCTGGGCGGGAGAACATACGTATCCGCCACGCGGCAACGACCCACAGGGCTGGTGGCTTATCTGGATTTTCCACATGGTCGACAATAGGTCAAGCCACAAGTGATCGCAATTGATTCAAAGGCAGTCTTGAATTTTCTCATTCTCTAGTGGTCTTGCACTTAAAAGACATGGATATTGTGTAGACCATTGGGAAATACACGAAGCTCTCAATTCCCACACTGCCACAGTGTGGGGCCATGAAACGAATTCGAAAATAGACATGATACTACTGAATATCCTACGTTCCGGCAGCAGCAGCAGGACTTAACATGTGACTGTGTATGCTGGGTAAAGTGAAGGACTAGCAGTTAAACGCAAATGTCCCGTCCATGTACCACCGTGGTTCATGGTGCAGCAGCCTCGAATCGCACCCTGGGCGTTAAGCTTGTTGGCACACTTCTCGATTGCCGCAAGGATAGTCTTCTTCTCCGCAGTCGTGTCACAGTTCTCACCACTCGTTGTGGCCTCGTACGCATACCTTTCGACATAGGTGCCGTCGGAGTCGGTGCCATACACAGGGAGCAAGAGCTCTGATTTGATTTGCTCTTAATGATGGCGGCAATGTCCTCGTGGATCTCAAGACCTGCGCTCGCCGCAAGAATAACGATTGAAATTGAATCGACGATGGTTGCTGCCGCGAGGACGGTTGTAATATCGGTACGCTTCTCCAGGGTATTGTTGGTGTAAAGGGAGAGATACTCGTTGCTCACGATATCAAAGGTCATGGTCAGGTTGGTCCCCGAGCCGGTCCATTCCTCGGTAAATGGGCGTGTAGGTTACTGTTGTGACATTGTCGTCCGCACGGCATCAGTCAATAAGACCAAATGCGAGCAGAGAAGAGATAACTTTGCCTGCGTTGACCATTCTCCTGACCCCAGCCGAATGATAATGGCGCAAACGTCAGAGATGACAACAAAGAACAGGACCCAAGCCTGCATTGCAGATTTTACAGATATAGAGGATGAAAAGGGCAAGGAAACAATAATGAAAAAAGTCATTCCCTATCCAACAATAGAGGAGGGTTTGCCTTTTATACGCCAAAAAATACCCTGCTCACTGGGTTAGCAAACCCGGGCGCCTGCGCGACTTTTAACATTGCTCGAGTCATGATGTGAGCCGGCTGTGGGCTGTAATGGCAATGGTCCTCGATAGTGACAATTCTAGTAGTCCTCAAACTGGAGTCAAGACTCATAAGTGTAATAGTTGTTGGTTAACGGATTGGGAAGATTGGATTTAGCCCACTATCTGATATACTGGTTCACAATGACAGCACACAATGGGACTAGCAAGACAGCTAAGCACAAGGTAAGCTCCAGGATCTCCACTGCCAAGGAAATGTATACGTACGCATTTTTAGGGGGATTGTGAGGCATTAAGGTGGCACCATGTCTAGATAAGTGAACAATTCAATGTATTACCTGACCTCCAGCTAGCAGCAATTTAGGTTGGTATAAGAGACCCTGCTGTTGGACCACAGGGAATGTTTCATCTGATATCTGTAATAGTATCATTTCCCCAGACCATACTTACTGCCTACTTCTACCCTTTAGAAGGTTTCGAGCCTACCTATCGACTGGAAAATCAGTAGCTCGTCGTAGTGGACCAAAATTAGGCCCTCTTTACCTCGAGGCAGCAGCAATCGCCCAATCACGCTGGGCAGAAACTAGTATCATACGATACATATAGACACTTCCATGGGCATTTGATTTCGGACTTCACAGTATGACAAATCGAGACCTTTATCAAAAATATGCAATCCCGAGCTTAATCACAGCAGTAAGTATTGAGACCAATATCACGACAAGGCGTGGTCTTCTTCATAGAACACATGGAGATTTTGCATAAACTGTTTCACTGCTCGATGTACATTCTAGCTGCATACTTAGTTTAAATCAGTTCTAACTGAATGTCATAATAAAAGGAGCGAATGGAGCTCTATAATCTGAGGAGTTCTTGCTGACCAGTTCTTATATCGTGCTCTTGTGTCGAGTCTGTTGCTTGGCTTGGGATACTTAGGCCAACATGATGACTCATGATGAGCAAAACCTTGGATTAGCCAATGAAATTGGAAAGTCATAGATGACGCCCCCATTTGGTACCTTTATCCTCTCGGACTTGCCCGATTAGGAAACCGTTTATGGATTGTAGCCTTAATATGGCTGATGTCTTCACTGCAAATCATCGATATCTGCCACTAATCAGACTTAGAGGATTGTATAGTCACATCCAGTAAGACTAGCTCATATTGTGTCATAAAGATGCCACTGCAAGGCAGACAAAACCTCTATAGCCCCACTGTGAATATCAAACAGAGTCAATCTCAGAGGTTCATGTTAGTCTCTTCATCTCATTCAGTCGCCTCAAGACTGCCAATAAAAGCACAGCTCGCCCACTATCTGACTTTTCTCTATCTTCAATCATCCTATAGCACTTTAACCAACGATTCTCCACGAACACAATGGCTCCAAGTCCAAAGCTGCCATTCGACCGCGAGCTAGAATCGCTCCTTCCGGACTATGATGACTTAATCCGTGAACAGAAGCCAATCAAAGTCGATGACATACTACTTTCCGGCGTCACTCATGAAGAACACACTTTCCTCGGCCCTGACAAAAACCCGCTGATCCTCTCAATCTTCCGCACGGAGAGGCTGCCAGACGCTGCTCCACAGAGACGACCAGCCATCTACCATATCCATGGTGGAGGCATGATTATGGGCAACCGCTTCTGCACCCTAAGCGGCCTACTCGAATTTGTTCGCGAGCACGACGCTATCTGCACCACGATCGAATACCGCCTTGCGCCTAAACATCCCTGCCCTGCACCGATCGAAGATTGCTACGCTGGCCTGGTCTGGGCACACGAGCACGCAGAGGAACTCGGAATTGACTGGACCCGTATTGTCATTAACGGGCTCTCAGCAGGAGGTGGGCTGGCGGCGGGTGTGGCACTGCTATGTCGGGACCGAAAAGGCCCTCCGTTGATCGGACAATCGCTCTTCTCGCCTATGATCGATGACCGTAACGACTCAGCTTCTGCGCACAAATTTACTGGCATCGGCATCTGGGACCGCAATGCCAATATGGCAGGTTGGAATGCGTATCTAGGTGACCGCAGAGGAAGTGACAATGTCAGCGCGTATGCAGCTCCTATCAGAGCAACGAACCTTGCAGGCCTTCCGCCGGCGTATATCGACGTTGGATCGACGGAGACATTCCGCGACGAGGATGTCAAGTATGCGCAAAACATGTGGAGCGACGGAACGCAGTGTGAGCTCCATGTATGGCCTGGCGCATATCATGGATTCGAGGGACTGTGCCCCGGAGCGCAGTTGTCTATCATGGCGAGGAAAGCGAGATTGGATTGGCTGCGGCGGACACTGTTCCGTTGATTGGGTGGCCATTTTTTGTACATTATTCAGGAGGGGCACATTCTAGCTAAGCTAGTCATGCTCGTGGTCATCGGAAGATGGATAGAATACCTGACCATGTACTCATACTCGTGGATATCACTTGTCCTAGCAACTAGCATTTTCTCACGCAAAACTCTTAGCACCGGGCAGCAAGGCTCTTGTAGAGAAAATCAGAACATATGTAGAGCAAGGTTGCCAGACTTTGATTGGCATAAGTGCCCCCTCGAGGCTACCTCTTTGATGAGAGGCGGATCAGTGCCCTAACCCTTCCCAGCAGATCTGCACTGCCATCATGCATATGATTGATTTAATTCTGAACCGCAGATCGGTTGATTCATCTCCTCTTATTGGCAAAGCTGATCTTGGAAGGCCATCGATCAACACCCGGATAATAATCCTCATTTGTGTGTATATCAGTGGCAGCAACTTGACTAGAGTATAAATTTACAATCCACAGCTGGCTAAGAGTGCTACATAGAGCTAGAAGCGCAAAAAGATCTATATTTCAGGTTTTAGAACCAATTTATCAATGGTGAATGGTCATGTCTCTCAATCCCTCAATGAAGGCTTTGAAGCTCATCGGTCCCCGGCCTCTACTCGTAAACCGGCCAAATCAGCACGGTTTGTTGTTTAATACATATAGAACACGCCAATTGTGCGGGATACTGAGGCTTGCAGTTAAAACTGTGGAAGATTGACCCGAATCTAGCGGTTGAGTCGGCAGGGATAGCGAGCGCAGCTCCTCCGTAACTTTGCATGCCGGAGGCTCTGATACGTTCCACAAAAGATGCAAAGTGAGGCGAGATTGCATGGTGCAAAGGATATCATGACCAGTCGACCACTTAAACATCGCCACGGTTGCACAGATATTGGCACGCTGTGTAGTTAATTACAACTGATAATGCCAAGTATGCTAATCCGCACAAGGATCACTAAGAGGTAGTAAACTTCGTTCCCACTGAGGTTCCTCATCACGTTGGCCAGGAAGGTATTGCGGTTTCATAGGCAAAGGCAATCGTAACACCAATGTAATACGTAGACCAGCACGGACATCTCGTTCCTATCTGGGTGTTCTACCGAGGCATGACGGTTTAGTGATGATGTTCGGCGGTTCCAGCGATGACGGTTTTGGTCATGTACAGATGCAAGGTGGACATAAACAACAGCGTACGGTTAGAGTTGCATTTGGTGCGAGTTCGGGCGAGTCCAACCTTAGTTGGACCCGAACCGCTGCGGTTTCGGGTCCAAATTTTAGAACTTGAATCCAAACCGAATCCGATGCGATTTAGTTGCGGTTTAACTGTAAAAACCCGCCACTAGGCCCAGCTAGGCATAGCTAGGCCTATACTAACTAACTATAGTTAGATTTGGTGCGTTTTCAAGTTGGACAAACTGCTATTTTTGACTGTTTTAACCCTTATCATTCTACCTTTAGGGACCCTTCTAAGGCCTCCTATTAAGCATGCTTATATAAAATTATAATTTTTATATGAAATATATAGTAA